CCAGAAGTGGAGGGACGTTTTGAAACACGAGAATAAGAAACACAGGGTAGTCTCCATTGGAGGCGGAGATGAGAAACTGCCATAGCATAAGGGAGACCTTCTGCCTCTTTGAGGCAACGAATTTCCCGCTCATTTAAGTAGACCTGGCAACGGCGAGAGTACGAAGGGTGAGCCTCATGACAATTAAGGCAAGAGGGAGGTCAACTGCAAGATGTATTAGAATGGTCATCGGCACCACAGACTGGGCATTCGGCTACAGATCTGCAATATTTTAATGGGTGGCCAAATCGCCAGCAATTCCTACACTGTTGCGGTGTAGGGATCACCTTCCGAACTTGCAACCAATGTCCTGCTACATAAACAGAGGATGGGAGTTCACGGCTGTCAAAAGTTAAACGAGCCACATTGCAAGGGTATCGTCTTCGCCCGTGGGCAGGAAGAACATAAGTGTCTACCTTGAGAACTGGGAGATCTTGGAGTTCCAGCTGTTCGAGAATGTCATTGCCACATGTCTGGAAATTCTGTTGGACTATGGTATGGGGCAGAATAACAGTACCTCTACAAAAATTGAGGGAATGATGTTTTTCGATAGTGATAGGAATAGTATCGACATGTGAAAGAAGAGAAAGATCATGAGCTTGGGTAGAATTCTGGACTGTGATGATGCGCGTACCACTCTTAAGAGCATGAAAGGAAATATCTCTACCAACGTGGCATAGGAGCGCTTTGCCAATACTATGGTCAGAAAGATAGGCAGTAGAAGAAGTAGGCCATAAAGTAAAGAATTTAGTCCATTGTGTGGTCCGAAACTGAGTGTGGAGAGGGAGTGCATGACGTGTCGGTCTTTTCCGAGTAGAATGGGAAGGTAACGAAGTAACATCATCAGGAGATTGTCATTGGCGTTTAGAAGTGGGACCAGAGTCGGTCCGACGTAAGACGGGCTGGCGGTTCGAAAATCATCACACCATAGAGGGAGAGGCCGGAAGCATAGTCAAAGGAGAGCAGAGGTCAGACAAATAGAAGGAGTCAGTGGAAGCCCCGGTACCTGAAGCGGGTGAGGAAACAGCACCAGCAAGAGGTACAGGAGCCTCAGGAGTGTCCAAAGAGTGGCCAAAAGACGAGGCGAGGTCAGAACAGGGTGCAGTAACAACAAGGGGCCCGGGGGTAGCGGGGTCATGGATTTGGAACTCCATGGTTAAGTTACTTCTTTCTTTTTGTTTTTAAGAAAAAAAAGAAAGAAGAAAATAAAAATAAAAAAAGAATAAAAAAAAAGGGGGGACTGGGGAGGGATAGTTCCTAGGAGGAATGAAAGGGCCAGAAATCTCCCTCTGCGCCCAAGAGGACCTCAGCACCGCAAGCAGCGCAGATGCAGCATGGAACCCGTGCTATACCCTACCCTTCATGCCAGTAAACCAGCAATCTGGGATAGTAACCTCACATCTGCCGAGCTACCTAGGTGGACAAAAGAGAGGGCGGCCGGATATCCGCCACAAAGCATACCTCCTTTGGCCACCACCCCCGGAATCCGAAAGGTGGCTTCCAGAGATGCACCCGTCGCCCAAAAGACATCCAAAGCCACCCTCCGGGATACCGGAGAGGGATCGGGACATCCCCAGGCAATCCAGATCCCACGGCAAACTACGCCACCGCCAAGAACCTCAACAGAATGGGATGGACCCCAGTACCCTTCCCCCTACCTATGAACTAGTGTGCCTGTGGGAAAAATCCCAAAGGCCAAAAAGAGGAAGGGCAAAAGGGAGGGGTGGGGAGGAGGAGGAGGAAAGGAAAAAGGGGAGGATGGGATAGGGAAGGGGGGATTGGGGGGTAATTAGGTTCGGTCTGAGGAAGGAGACTGACAGGTCTAATTCCTCAGACCAAGAGCCTCTTCACCACGCCAAGGAGCCCCCCTTGAAGAGGGGGTTTCATATATAATTTTGAGGAAAATATCATAGATGGATTAATGAAAATGCCTATATTAATGTAAAATAAGACATTTAATGTGCCCAAGAGTGATTATTATTATGTAGTATTCGCGTCATGAGTAGAGAGATTCTTAGCGATTTTAATGTGTACCTGCACACCAGCACAGTGTAAGTATATTTAGGTACAGGTACACATAAGTATAATTATCAGAGTACATATAAAATATGCAGTGATGCAAGGAGGGAAGAGTATATGGAGAAAAAGAGAGAAGTTAAGAGAGTGGTGAAGCAATGTAAAAAGAGAGCAAATGAGAGAGTGGGTGAGATGTTATCAACAAATTTTTGTTGAAAATAAGAAAAAGTTTTGGAGTGAGATTAACAAGTTAAGAAAGCCTAGAGAACAAATGGATTTGTCAGTTAAAAATAGGAGAGGAGAGTTATTTAAATGGAGAGGTAGAGGTATTGGAAGATGGAAGGAATATTTTGAGGAATTGTTAAATGTTGATGAAGATAGGGAAGCTGTGATTTCGTGTATAGGGCAAGGAGGAATAACATCTTGTAGGAGTGAGGAAGAGCCAGTTGTGAGTGTGGGGGAGTTCGTGAGGCAGTAGGTAAATGAAAGGGGGTAAGGCAGCCGGGATTGATGGGATAAAGATAGAAATGTTAAAAGCAGGTGGGGATATAGTTTTGGAGTGGTTGGTGCAATTATTTAATAAATGTATGGAAGAGGGTAAGGTACCTAGGGATTGGCAGAGAGCATGCATAGTTCCTTTGTATAAAGGCAAAGGGGATAAAAGAGAGTGCAAAAATTATAGGGGGATAAGTCTGTTGAGTGTACCTGGTAAAGTGTATGGTAGAGTTATAATTGAAAGAATTAAGAGTAAGACGGAGAATAGGATAGCAGATGAACAAGGAGGCTTTAGGAAAGGTAGGGGGTGTGTGGACCAGGTGTTTACAGTGAAACATATAAGTGAACAGTATTTAGATAGGCTAAAGAGGTCTTTGTGGCATTTATGGATTTGGAAAAGGCGTATGACAGGGTGGATAGGGGGGCAATGTGGCAGATGTTGCAAGTGTATGGTGTAGGAGGTAGGTTACTGAAAGCAGTGAAGAGTTTTTACGAGGATAGTGAGGCTCAAGTTAGAGTATGTAGGAAAGAGGGAAATTTTTTCCCAGTAAAAGTAGGCCTTAGACAAGGATGTGTGATGTCACCGTGGTTGTTTAATATATTTATAGATGGGGTTGTAAGAGAAGTAAATGCGAGGGTCTTGGCAAGAGGCGTGGAGTTAAAAGATAAAGAATCACACACAAAGTGGGAGTTGTCACAGCTGCTCTTTGCCGATGACACTGTGCTCTTGGGAGATTCTGAAGAGAAGTTGCAGAGATTGGTGGATGAATTTGGTAGGGTGTGCAAAAGAAGAAAATTAAAGGTGAATACAGGAAAGAGTAAGGTTATGAGGATAACAAAAAGATTAGGTGATGAAAGATTGAATATCAGATTGGAGGGAGAGAGTATGGAGGAGGTGAACGTATTCAGATATTTGGGAGTGGACGTGTCAGCGGATGGGTCTATGAAAGATGAGGTGAATCATAGAATTGATGAGGGAAAAAGAGTGAGTGGTGCACTTAGGAGTCTGTGAGACAAAGAACTTTGTCCTTGGAGGCAAAGAGGGGAATGTATGAGAGTATAGTTTTACCAACGCTCTTATATGGGTGTGAAGCGTGGGTGATGAATGTTGCAGCGAGGAGAAGCTGGAGGCAGTGGAGATGTCATGTCTGAGGGCAATGTGTGGTGTGAATATAATGCAGAGAATTCGTAGTTTGGAAGTTAGGAGGAGGTGCGGGGATTACCAAAACTGTTGTCCAGAGGGCTGAGGAAGGGTTGTTGAGGTGGTTCGGACATGTAGAGAGAATGGAGCGAAACAGAATGACTTCAAGAGTTATCAGTCTGTAGTGGAAGGAAGGCGGGGTAGGGGTCGGCCTAGGAAGGGTTGGAGGGAGGGGGTAAAGGAGGTTTTGTGTGCGAGGGGCTTGGACTTCCAGCAGGCATGCGTGAGCGTGTTTGATAGGAGTGAATGGAGACAAATGGTTTTTAATACTTGACGTGCTGTTGGAGTGTGAGCAAAGTAACATTTATGAAGGGATTCAGGGAAACCGGCAGGCCGGACTTGAGTCCTGGAGATGGGAAGTACAGTGCCTGCACTCTGAAGGAGGGGTGTTAATGTTGCAGTTTAAAAACTGTAGTGTAAAGCACCCTTCTGGCAAGACAGTGATGGAGTGAATGATGGTGAAAGTTTTTCTTTTTCGGGCCACCCTGCCTTGGTGGGAATCGGCCGGTGTGATAATAAAAAAAAAAAAAAAAAAAAAATAACTTTAAAACAATTTAAATTTTGGAAAGTTTCCTGACATAATAGATGTGGTCAGGGAGAATGTAAACAAACCGGGTGGGGCGCCCCATATTTGAAAGACCGCTTGCCGTACAGCAAATTTTGGTCATAATTTCACATCGCCGTATTAGCGGAACGCCATAAGGCAGAACGCCGTAAAGTGGGGCTCTACTGTACTAGCTAATGTATTTAGCTTTTCTTCTTAGCTTATGCCTTTTGCTCCAAGGGTCATCTTGTATCATGTATTTAGAACTTTTATTACCATGTCCATTTTTTTCTTTGTTAGATGTAGATCTTTCCCTTCCTTAGATGAAGCCTGATTACCTGTAACCACAAGCAGCTCCAAAAATTACATATAGTAAGACTTAGGGGTGGCACTGTGGATGAAAGAGAGGACTAGCATTATTACTTTATTAGGAGAGGCTGATGCTTTAACTCCTTTTTCCTTTTGCCCCCCCACCCCCCTTCAGCATCACTCCTGCCCTTAACCCCCTCCCAGGTGCTGTTTGGTCTTTACGGGTTTCATGCTTCCCCATGATCATGACATTAATATCACATAAAGTAATTTAATTTCAAAATATGAGTAAGATTTTTCTTTCCAGTACAGTGTTTTGAAACTGTATAGTATTATGAAATTGTACACATCACTGAAAATATTTCCATCTTGGGAAATGATATTCTGTTTTCTAACCTCCCATATTCGAGACCACTGCAGCCTGATGCGACCCATGTTGTAGTAACTGATTTCCACAATCTTCTGCAAGGAGAACATTCGTGGAGAGGGAGCAGCTAACTCTTCAAGGGACACTTGGCACAAGGCTCGAACAAAGTGGACCACTGCATCTCCATCCAATCGTGTAGACCCAGTGAATATTCTGTCAACAGCCACAACAACACTTTGTGATGATGTTTCACCCATGGACTCTTTAATGTGAGCTAATTTCTTCTGCTCACCAGTAACTGAAATGAACATATAGAGAGTATAAAATTAATTCACAACAAAGATGTTCCACCCAGGAAAAAAAAGCTTAAATTATAGTCAAGGGAAGTTTTTATGTTTAGTTAATAAGCCAGTAAACTTTTGCTTGTTTAATATTTTTTTTAAATCCTTTATATCACCTTGAGTACTGTTACACCTCTTGCTAACATGATCCTTCATACTTTTTATCTATATGAAACAGCATCATATACCTAAGGACTGAATATCAACCTTCAACTTGTGATACTTGCTAGTTCTTGAGAACCTATTTTATAAGGACCCTGATTAAAAATTCAACGACTAAGTCAGATGTTTCCGCTAGGAACTCTCAATCCTAAAGGGAACAACACGCTGATTTGCTTGTCATGAAGCAGCAGCAATCATCACTTGCTGCACTGAGAAACAAGACTGAGGAAACTTTTATTGCTGCTATACTAGGTTGGCAAACAGACTATCCAGGGAGATACTCTTCTGTCATAAAAGTGTGACACAAACATTCATTACTATAAATGTTTTGCACCCTGGTAAGACTACTTTTTTTTTCTTGTTTTGTCTCATGAACATACAAAATGACTGGTTAAATCTTAAAAGTTCCTATTTACATTCAGTATACATTTATCTAAACTTTCCTGTGAGCAGATTCTTATTCCTGTAACTTTCTTTTCCATTTTAAGCAGGCATAGTTAAAGACTGTCACAGGATTGATGATACCTGGAACCATTAGTGTCTAACAGGTAATCCTTGGTAAGTGCACACAAATGTAGTAGTGGCAACAGATAACCCTCGGTAAGTGCACACGAATGTAGTAGTGGCAAGAGGAAACCCTTGATAAGTGCCCACAAATGTAGTAGTAGTAAAAGATAACCCTCACTAAGTGCCCACAAATGTAGTAGTAAAAGATAACCCTTGATAAATGCCCACAAATGTAGCAGTAGTAAAAGATAACCCTTGATAAGTGCCCACAAATGTAGTAGTAGTAAAAGATAACCCTTGATAAGTGCCCACAAATGTAGTAGTAGTAAAAGATAACCCTCACTAAGTGCCCACAAATGTAGTAGTAGTAAAAGATAACCCTTGATAAGTGCCCACAAATGTAGTAGTAGTAAAAGATAACCCTTGATAAGTGCCCACAAATGTAGCAGTAGTAAAAGATAACCCTTGATAAGTGCCCACAAATGTAGTAGTAAAAGATAACCCTTGATAAGTGCCCACAAATGTAGTAGTAGTAAAAGATAACCCTTGATAAGTGCCCACAAATGTAGTAGTAGTAAAAGATAACCCTTGATAAGTGCCCACAAATGTAGTAGTAGTAAAAGATAACCCTTGATAAGTGCCCACAAATGTAGTAGTAGTAAAAGATAACCCTCACTAAGTGCCCACAAATGTAGTAGTAGTAAAAGATAACCCTTGATAAGTGCCCACAAATGTAGTAGTAGTAAAAGATAACCCTCACTAAGTGCCCACAAATGTAGTAGTAGTAAAAGATAACCCTTGATAAGTGCCCACAAATGTAGTAGTAGTAAAAGATAACCCTTGATAAGTGCCCACAAATGTAGTAGTAGTAAAAGATAACCCTTGATAATGCCCACAAATGTAGTAGTAGTAAAAGATAACCCTCACTAAGTGCCCACAAATGTAGTAGTAGTAAAAGATAACCCTTGATAAGTGCCCACAAATGTAGTAGTAGTAAAAGATAACCCTTGATAAGTGCCCACAAATGTAGCAGTAGTAAAAGATAACCCTTGATAAGTGCCCACAAATGTAGTAGTAGTAAAAGATAACCCTTGATAAGTGCCCACAAATGTAGTAGTAGTAAAAGATAACCCTCACTAAGTGCCCACAAATGTAGTAGTAGTAAAAGATAACCCTTGATAAGTGCCCACAAATGTAGTAGTAGTAAAAGATAACCCTCACTAAGTGCCCACAAATGTAGTAGTAGTAGTAAAAGATAACCCTCACTAAGTGCCCACAAATGTAGTAGTAGTAAAAGATAACCCTCACTAAGTGCCCACAAATGTAGTAGTAGTAAAAGATAACCCTTAATAAGTGCCCACAAATGTAGTAGTAGTAAAAGATAACCCTCACTAAGTGCCCACAAATGTAGTAGTAGTAAAAGATAACCCTTAATAAGTGCCCACAAATGTAGTAGTAGTAAAAGATAACCCTCACTAAGTGCCCACAAATGTAGTAGTAGTAAAAGATAACCCTTAATAAGTGCCCACAAATGTAGTAGTAGTAAAAGATAACCCTTAATAAGTGCCCACAAATGTAGTAGTAGTAAAAGATAACCCTCACTAAGTGCCCACAAATGTAGTAGTAGTAAAAGATAACCCTCACTAAGTGCCCACAAATGTAGTAGTAGTAAAAGATAACCCTCACTAAGTGCCCACAAATGTAGTAGTAGTAAAAGATAACCCTTAATAAGTGCCCACAAATGTAGTAGTAGTAAAAGATAACCCTCACTAAGTGCCCACAAATGTAGTAGTAGTAAAAGATAACCCTTAATAAGTGCCCACAAATGTAGTAGTAGTAAAAGATAACCCTTAATAAGTGCCCACAAATGTAGTAGTAGTAAAAGATAACCCTCACTAAGTGCCCACAAATGTAGTAGTAGTAAAAGATAACCCTTAATAAGTGCCCACAAATGTAGTAGTAGTAAAAGATAACCCTTAATAAGTGCCCACAAATGTAGTAGTAGTAAAAGATAACCCTCACTAAGTGCCCACAAATGTAGTAGTAGTAAAAGATAACCCTCACTAAGTGCCCACAAATGTAGTAGTAGTAAAAGATAACCCTCACTAAGTGCCCACAAATGTAGTAGTAGTAAAAGATAACCCTCACTAAGTGCCCACAAATGTAGTAGTAGTAAAAGATAACCCTTAATAAGTGCCCACAAATGTAGTAGTATAAAAGATAACCCTCACTAAGTGCCCACAAATGTAGTAGTAGTAAAAGATAACCCTTAATAAGTGCCCACAAATGTAGTAGTAGTATAAGATAACCCTCACTAAGTGCCCACAAATGTAGTAGTAGTAAAAGATAACCCTTAATAAGTGCCCACAAATGTAGTAGTAGTAAAAGATAACCCTCACTAAGTGCCCACAAATGTAGTAGTAGTAAAAGATAACCCTTGATAAGTGCCCACAAATGTAGCAGCAGCAAGAAGGAAATATGAGAAGAATGTGTAATGTTTATCTGAGCTGGTGTCATGATAACACTACTTATACATGCTTTTGTTTTTCACACAGTCCTGTAAAATTACCTTTATCACACTTCATGTATATTCCATCATTTACACAGTAGAATCACCTTTCTTTTTTTTTTTAATTTACTATTACTTACTGAATTCTGGGAAAGCATCAAGGAAGTTTGAAGTCTCATGTGGCATCTTGAGACCAGAATCCTTTATATACTGTGGTTTTACTCCAGTTCCGATCAATTGTGCCAACTCCAGCTGACTGATACACTTGAGGATTTCCAGCCATGATTTTCCAAGATAATTCCCTAAAATATAGATAAATTTCCCAAGATAATTTTTTAAATCATAAAATTTAAAGAAAATTTCCCTAAATAAAAATAAATAACCAGATTATAATGATACTTGATAAGATGACTAAGGGTGAACATACAGTGGAACCTCGGTTTTCGTGATTAATTTGTTCCAGAAAATCTGACGAAAACCGAATTGTATGAAATCTGAAGCAATATTTCCCATAATAAATAAATAATGTAAATCAAATTAATCCATTCCAGACACCCAAAAATATTAACAAAATATACATTTTATAGAGAATAACTATAGTTTTACATACAGAAAACAATTAGAAATAAATATAAAGCACTAATGAAATGGATAAATGAACATTTAACATCGCTTTTACCTTTATTGAAGACTCTTGTTGGCGTATGGAAGACAGCGAGGAGGGGAGAGGGAGGAGGAGAGGTTATTGTTTGGAAGGGAAATCCCCCCTCCATAAGGACTTCAGGTATCAAGACCCTAACCAGGGTTACTTCCCTTCTTTGTCTCTTACTGGTAAGATCGGCCACGCGTATGCCACTTTTGTACTTTGCTACGAGTTTTTTCTTGAATTCTATCGTGTTTTTCGCCTTGTTTATCAAAGGGCTGGCACTTGAAACTTTCTTTGGCCCCATGGTGGCTTATTTAGCAGCCACGGGCAGGCAGATGCATCTGGTACTGCGGACCATTATCAACTCTACAAAAACTGAGCAGATGTACAAAAACTGGGACAAAATTTCAACCAAAAAAGTCGTTGAAAACAGAATCCTATGAAAACCAGGGCATACAAAAACCGAGGTTCCACTGTAATAAATTCTGAACAAATCGTATAACCTAACAAAATTAATATATTTATTTCCAAACACAAAACGTCCTACAGCAGACACAACAGGGTGGGACTTTAGCCAAACATTAAACTATACATTTAACATTATGATATAACAGGAGCATGTCTTATCATCAGTGTGTGCGTGCGCAACATTAAACTTTACATCCAATGTTACTTTATGATAAAACAGGAGTATGTTTTACCATCAGTGTGTGTGTGTGTGTGTGTGTGTGTGTGTGTGTGTGTGCAACATTAAACTATGCATTCAAAATTACTTTATGATATAAGAGGAGCATGTCTTACCATCAGTGTGTGCAACAGTGATGAGCGTTTTGATACAGTCAACATTCTTGGCTTTCATTTCAGTTAGTGGCGAATTAGCTGTCAAGAGTGTAAAACGGGCGAGGCACTGCACGAAGGCATCTCTCTCAAGCTTGAAAATGAGAACAAATATTAGAGCTTCTTAAGTCATACTTTTTAAGACAAAAAGCTCTTTTGATAAAGAAAAGAAAAATTAATAGAAAACATAACTTCCACCAACTTCCAAATGATTTTCACATTTACTCAGAAACTGTTAACTTTTACATATTACTCTAAGACAGAAAGACCACCTAACAGAAAAGAGCCAGTATCATAACACCATGTTATGGTATCTTCAGCCATGTGAGGTGATTCAATGATACTAGTTTTTCCTCACTGTTAATAGCAGTTTTTATACACAATCTGCATATAGGAGAAAGAAGCTGATGACAATTATTACCAAAGACATATTGTGACTTTGTTAGTGGTCCAAGTCACATTTTGACTGTTTTATAGTCCAAGTTACAGCATGAGTTTGTTAATGGTCCAAGTCAGACCAAAACATTGTGGTAAGCTCCTCTCTCGTATGTACAGGTTATCTGTGTATTGTTCCAATCACGATATTGTGCCCTTTTTGTTCTTTATGATCCTGAAGCTTTTATGTTACACCTACCATCCGACTTACGACCTGCTCGACTTACGACCACTCGACTTATGACCGTGTTTTTATGCCAAATTTCTGGGAAATAAACAACTATTTGTGTTGTACACAGTGTTTATCCTAAACCTTACAGTATAAAATACAGTACTTACAGCACAAAAAGTAAAATAAAACATGAAATACCAAAATAAAACAATAAAATAAAGTCATTACAAAAATGTTTTGTTGATATTCAGTAGTAAAGTTCGACTTACGACCATTTCGACTTATGACCGGTTTCTCGGAACCGAACTCGGTCGTAAGTCGGATGGTAGGTGTATTTAGTTTCACATTACTGTAAAATTGTCAAGACTTTATTTTACGTCTCAAGTTAATTATGTTTTGGTGACTAGGACAACAAGTCAACAAACAGGTACAAAATGTGGAAGGCATGTTTTATACATTAATTCCCATTCACTTTATTAACCTCAACCAAACATTATCTCAGTTATCATCGTATGCTTTTTGCTCAGAAATTTCCCTCATGCTTTTATCAAATTTGATTAATTCTTACTCAATTTATTTTCTAAAATGAATGCACTTATTAAAATACATTTACACCTGCCTGTCACAAAACTATGATTTATGAAGCATAAAAGCAATCCATGTGGTTCCACCAGTATCTTTACATAGTGAATCAGTGGATACAGTCTTTCAGTGAGGGCACAGTATGGTCATAAAAGTTGGTTGGTTGGTGTGTGTGCGTGTGTGTGTGTGTGTGTGTGTGTGTGTGGTGTGTGTGTGTGTGTGTGTGTGTGTGTGTGTGTGTGTGTGTGTGTGTGTACTCACCTAGTTGAGGTTGCGGGGGTCGAGTCCGAGCTCCTGGCGCATGTGTGTGTGTGTGTGCGTGTGTGCGTGTGTGTGTGTGTGTGTGTGTGTGTGTGTGTGTGTGTGTGTGTGTGTGTGTGTGTGTGTGTGTGTGTGTGTGTGTGTGTGTGTGCGTGTGTGTGCGTGTGTGTGCATGTGTGTGCGTGTGTGTGCGTGTGTGCACGCGTGTGTGCGTGCGTGTGCACGTGTGTGCAGGCGTGTGTGTGCGCACGTGCATGTGTGTACGTACTCACCTAATTGTGGTTGCAGGGGTCGAGACAGCTCCTGGTCCCGCCTCTTCACTGATCACTACTAGGTCCCCTCTCTCTGCTTCCAGAGCTTTGTCATACCTTGTCTTAAAGCTATGTATGGTTCCTGCCTCCACTACATCACTTGTTAGGCTGTTCCACTTCCTGACGACTCTGACTGAAGAAATACTTCCTAACATCCCTATGACTCGTCTGAGTCTTCAGCTTCCAATTGTGACCCCTTGTTTCTGTGTCCCCTCTCTGGAACAACCTGTCTCTGTCTACCTTATCTATTCCACACAGTATTTTGTATGTCATTATCATGTCTCCCCCAACCCACCTGTCCTCCAATGTCGTCAGTCTGATTTCCCTCAACCTTTCTTCATAGGACATACCCCTGAGCTCCGGAAGTAGCCTTGTTGCAAACCTTTGCACTTTCTCTAATTTCTTGACGTGTTTGCCCAGGCATGGGTTCCAAACTGGAGCTGCATACTCCAGTATGGGCCTGATGTACACAGTGTACAGTGTCTTGAACGATTCCTTACTTAGGTATCGAAACGCTATTCTCAGGTTTGCCAGGCGCCCATATGTTGCAGCAGTTATCTGGTTGATGTGTGCCTCCGGAGACATACTCGGTGTTATGGTCATCCCAAGATTTTTCTCCTTGAGCAAGGTTTGCAGTCCTTGGCCACCTAGTCTATACTCTGTCTGCGGTCTTATTTGCCCTTCTCCGATCTTCAAGACTTTGCACTTGGCAGGGTTGAATTCAAGAAGCCAGTTGCTGGACCACATGTCCAGCCTGTCCAGGTCTCTCTGAAGTCCTGCCTGGTCCTCATCTGATTTAATTCTCCTCATTAATTTCACATCATCTGCAAACAGGGACACCTCTGAGTCTATCACATATTCACATATACCAGAAATAGCACTGGTCCTAGGACTGACCCCTGTGGGACCGCCCGCTAAATCACAGGTGCCCACTGTGATACCTCATCCTGTACCATGACTCGTTGTTGCCTCCCTGTCAGGTATTCTCTGATCCATTGCAGTGCCCTTCCTGTTATACACGCCCGATCCTCTAGTTTCTGCATTATTCTCTTGTGAGGAACTGTGTCGAAGGCCTTCTTGCAGTCCAAGAAAATGCAATCAAGCCACCCCTCTCTCTCGTGTCACACTTCTGTAACTTTGTCATAGAACTCCAGAAGGTTTGTGACACAGGACTTGCCTTCCATGAATCCGTGTTGGTTATCGTTTATAATCTTATTCCGTTCCAGGTGCTCCACCACTCTCCTCCTGATAATCTTCTCCATGACTTTGCATACTATACAGGTCAGTGGCACTGGTCTGTAATTTAGTGCCTCTTTTCTGTCTCCTTTTTTAAAAATGGGAACTACATTTGCGGTCTTCCATACCTCGGGTATTGCCCAGTTTCAAGGGATGTGTTGAAGATTGTGGTTAATGGCACACACAATATATCTGTTCCCTCCCTGAGGACCCACAGGGAGATGTTGTCCAGTCCCATTGCCTTTGAGGTATCAAGGTCACTTAGCAGCTTCTTCACATCCTCCTCAGTTGAGTGCATATCATCCAGCACCTGTTGGTCTATTTCCTGTTGGTGTCCCCTTCTGTCCTGTCTTCCCAGAGTCCTTCCTGTCTCCACTGTAAAATACTTTCCTTAAATCTCCTGTTGAGCCTCCTCGCATACCTCTTGATCGTTTCTTGCGAGTTCCCCACCTTCTTTTTTCAGCCTGATCATCTGGTCCTTGACTGTCGTCTTTCTCCTAATATGGCTAAACAGCAGTTTCAGGTCAGACTTGGCTTTCAATGTTATGTCATTTTCGTACTGTTGCTGGGCCTCCCTCCTTATCTGTGCATATTCGTTTCTGGTCTTCGACTGACCTCCTGTTTTCCGGGGCCTTTGCCTCTATACCTCTTCCATTCTCTAATGCACTTAGTTTTTGCCTCCCTGTACCTTTGGGTAAACCAAGGACTCGTTTTGGTTTTCCCCATGTTTTCTGTTGCCCTTGGAACAAACCTTTCCTCTGCCTCCTTGCATTTTTTAAAATACTCCATTTCATTTACTGCCCTTTCCTACCATTTCTCTGTCGCACTGCACCTCCTGCAGGAAGTTCCTCATACCTGTGTAGTCCCCCCTTTTATAGTTTGGCTTTTCCTATTCGACTCCTGTTACCCTCTCCACCTGTAACTCTACTATGTAATCAAAACTCAGGACTATGTGGTCACTAGCTCCGAGGGGCCTCTCATATGTGATGTCATCAATATCTGAGCTACTCAGGGTGAACAAAAGGGCCCCAGTCTTGCTGGTTCATCCTCCCCTCGCTCTCTGGTAGTGTCCCTGATGTGTTGATGCATGAGGTTTTCCAGTACCACATGCATCATCTTGGCTCTCCATGTTTCGAGGCCTCCATGAGGCTCCATGTTTTTCCAATTGATCTCCCTGCGGTTGAAACCTGCCATAACCAGTAACTTGCTCTGCACGTTTGAGCTCTTCGTGCCACCTCAGCCAGTGTGTCCACCATCTTTTCTGTTGTTCTCATCATATCCTCTCTTGGCCTCTTGCATTCAGTGTGGGTTATACATCACACACAATGACTACCTTATGTTTCCCAATGAATTGTGCCTGCTATGTAGCCCCTTTTCCCAATCTCGCCCATGCCCTCCATTTCCTTGAAACTCCATTGGTTTTTTATGAGCAGTGCAACCCCTCCCCCCTCTGCTCTTTCTATCTTTCCTCAGGATCTGATATCCCAGTGGGAAGACTGCGTCTTTATTGTCTCAGTGAGTTTCGTTTCTGTGACTGCTATGATGTCCGGGGACTTCTCATTCTTTCATGCCATTCCTCATATGCCCGAATATAGTATATGTGTGTAAGTGTGTGTGTGTGTGTGTGTGTAAAGAGAGAGAGGGGAGAGAGAAGAGAGAGAGAGAGAGAGGAGAGAGAAGAGGGGAAAAGGAGAGAGAGGAGAGAAGAAGAGAGAGAGGAGGAGAGAGAGGAGGAGAGGAGGAGAAGAGAGGGGGAGAGAAAGGAGAGAGAAAAGAGGAGAGAGGGAGAGAGAGAGGAGGAGAGAAAAGAAGAGGAGAAGAGAGGGGAAAAAGAGAGAGAAAAGGAGAGAAAAGAGAGGAGAGAGGGAGAGAGAGAAGAGAGAGAGGGGAAGAGAGGGGAAGAGGAAGAGAGAGAGGAAGGAGAGAGAGAAGGGAGAGAGAGAAGAGAGAGAGAGAAAGAGAGAGAGAAGAGAGAGAGAGAGAGAGAGAGAAGAGAGAGAGGGGAAGAGAAGAGAAGAAGGGGAGAAGAGAGGGAGAGAAAAGAGAAGAGAAAAGAAAAGAGAAGAGAAGAAAAAGAGAGAGAAGAGAGAGAGAGAGAAAAGAGAGAGAGAGAAGAGAGAGAAAGAGAAAAAGAGAAAAGAAGAGATAAAAGAGAGAGAGAAGAGAGAGAGGGGAGAGAAAAAGAGAGAAGGAGAAGAGAAAAAGAGAGAGAGAAAAGAGAGAGAAAGAGAGAGAGAAGAGAGAGAGAGAAGAGAGAGAAGAAGAAGAGAGAGAAGAGAAAAGAGAGAGGGGAAGAGAGAGAGAAGAGAGAGAGAAAAAAGAGAAGAAGAGAGATAGAAGAGAGAGAAAAGAAGAGAGAGATAGAAGAGGGGAAAAGAGGGGAGAGAGAGAAAAGAGAGAGAGAGAGAGAAGAGAAGAAGAAGAGAGAGAAAGAGAGAGAAGATAGAGAGAGAAAGAGAGAGAGAAGAAGAGAGGAAGAGAGAGGAAAAGAGAGAGAGAGAGAAAGAGGAGGAGAGAAGAGAGAGAGAGAGGAGGGAGGCTCTTTCGCTTGGGGTTGTGGCAATCCCTTTTGCAACCTGAAAAACACCCGAAATGATGAACGTCCATAGGCACCATGATGGTAATGCTGGTGCAGTAGAAAGGTTGATGGGAGATGTGCACCTGGAAGAAGTTGATATCCTTGGTGAAATTTGCTCCAAACAAACCATAAAAGAACATGTGTAAATCTTGCAAACAAGGCAGCCAGGAAGTTTACCAGCATTCGCCGTATCTCCCATCTGCTTGAACAGTAGGGTTGCAAGATCCTGTACGAGGCACAAGTACGCTCGCCCCTTTGAGTATGCTCCACTTTCTTGGTTTGCCTGCCCCCCCTCTCATCGCGACTGCTTGACAGAGAGAGAACAGAGCAAGACGTCTCATCTCCCCGCCTGGACCCATCCTGGATAGATCTGTCATTTCAGCAGAGCCTTCACATAGGAGGATGTGGGTGCCCTTACTGTTATGTACAAGGCCAATATTGTCAAAATACCCCCACTTGGATTCACCTTCAAGGACAGCGTGAAACAAGCTTTTATGCCAAAAGGGACGGGCAGAAAGCAGCAACTTCACTCTGCTGTAACCCCTTCTCCAAAAAACACTCCAAATCTGAAAATCATACATACCCGGGATGACTCGAGTATGGAACACATTCGAAACAGGATAATGATGTCAACGAGATAAAGTCAGTTGATCAAATGAAAATGCTGGCCCACAGATGGCTCCAACTTATCCTGTTCCTACTTCTATGTCTAAAATAACAATAAAAATGCTTTCAAATGAGCTGATGTAGGTAACAGCTCTTAGCTTGCCAATAAAGTTGGGAAAATCCTTAACCTGTAAATAGCGGGTCAATAAAGCTAGGGATCCTTAACCTTGTCAAACCCTGTGAAAAAAAAAAAAAAAAAAAAAAAAAAAAAAAAAAAAAAAAAAAAAAAAAAAAAAAAGGGAGAGAAAAGAGAGAAAGAGAGAGAAGAGAGAGAAGAGAAAGAAGAGAAAAAGGGGAGAAAAGAGATAAAAGAGGGAAGAGAAGTTAGAAGAGAAGAGAGAAAAAAAAGGGGAAAAGAGGAGAAAAGGAAAAGGGAAAAAGAGGAGAGAAGAGGAGAGAAGAGAGAGAGAGGAGAGAGAGAGAAGAGAGAGAGAAGTAGAGAGAGAGAAAAAGAGAGAAGGAAAAGAGAGAGAGGAAGAGAGAGAGAAGAGAAGAGAGAGGGGAGAATAAGAAAAGAGAGAGAGAAGAGAAGAGAGAAGAGAAGAGAGAGAGAGGGAGAGAAAGAAGAGAGAGAAGAAGAGAAAGAAAAGAAGGAGAGAGAAGAAGAAGGGGAAGAAGAGAGAGGAGAGGGGAAAGAGAAGAGAAAAAAGAGAGAAGAAGAGAGAGAGAAGAGAGAGAGAAGAGAGAAGAGAGAGAAGAGAGAAAAGAGAGAGAGAAGAGAGAAGAAGGAAGAGAGAAGAGAAGAGAAGAGAGAGAGAGAAGAGAGAAGAGAAAGAGAGAGAATAAGAGAGAGAGAGAAAGAGAGAGAGAGAGAAAGAGGGGAAAAAGAGAGAGAAAAGAGAGAGAGAGAGAGAGAAGAGAAGAGAGAGGAAGAGAGGAGAGAGAAAGAGAGAGAGAAGAGAAGAAGAGAAGAGAGAAGAGAGGAGAGAGAGAAGAAGAGAGAGAAGAGAGAGAGAGGAGGAATGTTGGAAAGAAAGGCGGGTGGGGGAGGGAGAAAGGGGGGGGGGGGTGGGGGTGGGGGGCCCCTTTCCTTCCGGGTTAGCTGGGGGGGGGGGCCCCTCCCCCCCCGGGGTAAAAGGGGGGGGGGGGAGAGGAATTGGGGGGGGGTTTCCTTGGGGGGGGGGGGGGGGGGGTCCTCCTCTCCTCGCCTCCTCTCGTTCTCCTCGCCTCTCCCTCCGTTTCTCCCTCCCCTCCCCTCGTTTCCTCGCCCTCCTCTCCCCTCCTCTCTCTCTCTCCCGTCTCTCGCCCTCTCCCTCTCGCCTCTCTCTCTCCTCTCTCTCTCTGCTCTCTCTCGCTCCCCTCTCCTTTCTCTCCCCTCTCTCTCCTTCTCTCCTCTCTCTCTTCCTCTCTCCGCTCTCCCTCTCTCCTCTCTCTCCTCTCTCCCCCTTTTCTCTCTCTCCTCTCTCCCGCCTCTCCCCTCCTCCCCTTCTCCTCTCCCCTCTCTCTCTCGCCCTACTCTCTCCGCTCTCTCTCTCCTCCGCTCTCTTCTCCTCTCTCTCTCCCCTCTCTCTCTCTCCCTCTCCCTCTCCTCTCTCTCCCCTCCTCTCTCCTCTCTCTCTCCCTCTCTCTCTCTCCTCTCTTCCCTCTCCCTCTCTCTCTCCCTTCTCTCTCTCCCTTCTCCCCCTCTCTCCTCCCTCTCCTCTCCTCTCTCGCTCTCTCCTCCTCGCTCTCTCCTCTCTCGCTCCTCGCTCCACCCCACCTCCAATTTACAGTCAAACCCAATACCGTCTTCACACCATCACCTACCCCCCCAGGCCGTTACACCTCCCCACCCCCCACAACCCAGCCCAAGCCCCCGCCCGCCGACGGCCAAGTGAGAAAGAAACCCCGGGGGCCCAATGCACCATGCGGTGTGACACCAACCAGAAGCAAGCATCCGTGGGAGGCTCCAACACCATGTCCCTGGCAGGACCGACAGAGTCCTGCCTGAATGACCTTATACCACCCTAAATCGACAGGGGACCAACCACACTAGAATTAAAGAGAAGCAGACCTCTTTGCTGAACACTTTTAAACTACCAAAAAGCAAGTTCCTGATCCACAAGGTACCCTCCTTGGGCTAGCTGCAAGAACTGTGTCAAAACTGTCAGTGGTGACAAAAATGCAGAGGAGGTGCATTTCCATCTTAAAAAAAACGCTTGACCAAAAAAAAGGCTGGGCCCAGACAAGTTGAGCCCAAGATTGTTGAGAAAGATGTGCCGACCACTAGCAGCACCTCTAACTCGCACGCCTAGTACAGTGAAAGGCCCTTTTCTATGGAAAGAGGCCAAATGAGTCCCGTTCCACAAAAAAGAGCAAGCAGAAATCACAACTACAGACCAGTTTTTAATCCTGTCAACACTGGTAAATCCTTAACAATAATCCCAAGACCAAATGACAGTTTTTTGACTACCACTCACTACTTTGTGATCGTCAATATGGCTTCAGGAAAGGGTTTCTCTGCTGCTGACTGTTGTTAAACCTCTCCACTAAGTGGCACCCGTCACAGGATGAATCCAAAGTCAGCTGTGTGGTAGCACTGGACATTGCGGTGCTTCGACTGGGTGTGGGGACCCGGCCTCTAGCAAAACTTCAAGCACTGGGGAATTGCAGGTCTACACAATGCTTCCTAGTGATTCCATCCATGGTAGATCTCAAAGTATAGTTCTCAAAGGAACGGAATTAGGGGGGAAGACATTTCCTATTTTGGGCAAGTGATTCCAACAAGGATGCGTGCTGGACCAATGTTTTATGGAATGTCTACTTTCAACAAAACCTTCTTCCCTCTCATCCCAGAATCACAAATGCATATGCAGATGACTGTACACTGACATTTTTACTTATCCAAGAGAAGAAATGCCACTGCTCTAAGCTACATCAATCACCAGCTAAGAGCTATATCAGCTTGGAGAAAAGATGGCAAGTAAAAAATTTGCTCTGAGAAAATGCAAATGATGATCGTCTCTAGGCACCGTGTGGTAATGCTGGTGCAGTAGTATGGATGAATGGAAGGGGGTTGGCACCTGGAAAGAAGTTGATATCCTTGGGGTTTAAATTTGACTCCAAACTAACCACATGAAGAACCATGTTGTAAATCTTGCAAACAAGGCAGCCAGGAAGCTTACAGCACTTCGCCATATCTCGCATCTGCTTGACAGCAGGGTTGCAAGATTCGTACGAGGCACAAGTACGCTCACACCTTGAGTAACTCCACTTTTTTTGGTTTTGCCTGCCCCCCCTCTCATCTGCGACTGCTTGACAGAGTAGAGAACAGAGCAAGACGTCTCATCTCTCGCCTGGACCCATCCTGGATAGATCTGTCATTTCAGCAGAGCCTTCAACATAGGAGGGATGTGGGTGGCCTTACTGTTATGTACAAGGCCAATATTGTCAAAATACCACACTTGGATCCACTTCGAGGACAGCGTGAAACAAGCTTTTATGCCACAAGACGGGCAGAAAGCAGCAACTTCACTCTGGCTGTACCCTTCTCCAGAACATCACTCCATCTGAGATCATATATACCTGGGATGACTCGAGTATGGAACACAATTGTACAGCATAATGATGTCAACGAGATAACGTCAGTTGATCAAATGAAAATGCTGGCCCATAGATGGCTCCAATTTCTTCCTGTTCCCTACTTGTATGTTTCATAACAATAAAAATGCTGATGTAGGTAACAGTTCTTAGCTTGCCAATAAAGTTAGGAATCCTTAACCTGTAAATAGCTGTCAATAAAGCTAAGGATCCTTAACCTTGTCAAACCCTGAGTAAAAAAAAAAAAAAAAAAAAAAAAAAAGAGAATTATACATATATATTTGTAAACAACCTCTTATACTTACAGTCATGCAAAATATACAAGTTATTCTGATGGCACATCGAAGGCCATCTAGGCAGAGGGATGCCACTTCCGCATCATCACAGTCTTGTAAGCCAACTGAAAATGCAGCCAGGAATGGTGTCCATGCCATCTGTAAATAGTATCAAGCAGGGGTACTTAACATATTTACAATTATAGATTCCCAATGGATCACCCCACTATCAGTCCTATTAGATACCAGTATGATTTCAAAAGATGTCAACAGCTTGGTTTTACTTTACATATGGAAAGTTAGCAGCTGAACATTTTTTTTTTTTTAACAAGTCGGCCGTCTCCCACCAAGGCAGGGTGACCGAAAAAGAAAGAAAATCCCCAAAAAGAAAATACTTTCATCATTCAACACTTTCACCTCACTCACACATCATCACTGTTTTTGCAGAGGTGCTCAGAATACAACAGTTTAGAAGTATATACATATAAAGATACACAACATATCCCTCCCAACTGCCAATATCCAAAACCCCTCTTTTAAAGTGCAGGCATTGTACTTCCCATTTCCAGGACTCAAGTCTGGCTATATAAAATAACCAGTTTCCCTGAATCCCTTCACTAAATATTACCCTCTCACAACTCCAACAGCTCGTCAGGGCCCAAAACCATTAATTCGTCTCCATTCACTCCAATCTAACACGCTCACGCACGCTTGCTGGAAGTCCAAGCCCCCCCCCACAAAACCTCCTTTATTCAAACCCCCTCCCCCCCAACCTTTTCAAGGACGACCCCTACCCCGCCTTTCCTTCCCCTACAGATATATACGCTCTTTAGTCATTCTACTTTGATCCATTCTCCTAAATGACCAAACCACCTCAACAACCCCTCTTCAGACCCTCCCGACTAATACTTTTATTTACTCCCCACACGTTCTCCTAATTTCCCACTCCGAATTTTCTGCATAATATTTACAAACCACACATTGCCCTTAACAGGCCATTCACTGCCTCTAAAATGCCCCCCACACTGCAGCATTTACAACCCAAGCTTCATATCCATATAAGTGTGTTGGTACTACTATACTTTCATACATTCCCTTCTTTGCCTCCATAGATGGCATTTTTTGTCTCCACATAACCTCAATGCACCACTCACTTTTTTTTCCTTCATCAATTCTATGATTTAACCTCATTTCCCTTCATAAAAACATCCACTGACACGTCAACTCCCAAATATCTGAAAACATTCACTTTTTTTTCCATACTCCCTCCTCCCCCAATTTGATATCCAGTTTTTCTTTATCAAAAAAATTTGACACCCTCATCACCTTACTCTTTCCCATGTTCACTTTCAACTTTCTTACCTTTTACACACACTCCCAATTCGTCCACTAACCTTTGCAATTTTCTTTAGAATCTCCCATAAGCACAGTATCATCAGCAAAAAGTAACTGTCCACTTCCCATTTTGTATTTAATTTCCCCCCTAATTTAATCCCACCCCCTCCCCGAACACCCTGCATTTACTTCTTTTACAACCCCATCTATAAATACAGTGGACCCCCGCATAACGATCACCTCCGAATGCGACCAATTATGTAAGTGTATTTATGTAAGTGAGTTTGTACGTGTATGTTTGGGGGTCTGAAATGGACTAATCTACTTCACAATATTCCTTATGGGAACAAATTCGGTCAGTACTGGCACCTGAACATACTTCTGGAGTGAAAAAATATCGTTAACCGGGGGTCCACTGTATATTAAACAACCATGGTGTCATTACACATCCCTGTCTAAGACCTACATTTACCGGGAAATAGTCTCCCTCTCTTCTACACACCCTAACCTGAGCCTCACTATCCTCCTAAAAACTCATTACAGCATTTAGTAACTTACCACCTATTCTAATCTAACAACTTTTTCTAAGAGTTCAGAGCTAGAGTCCCATTATTTGGTTCCCATACCCCTAAGGGAAATGGATAACCCTGGTTAAGAACCACTGGTAAAAATCATGGATACAAAAACTTTTTTTTCACCACACAGTTTCCCACTAAGGCAGGGTAGCCCAAAGAAGGAAATGCATTTACCATTATTCATTGATATGGTAAAAAAATACATTTTATGTTTATTTTTTTTAACACACTGACCGTCTCCCACCAAGGGAGGGTGACCCAAAAAAGAAACACTTTCACCATCATGCATAATCACTGTCTTTGCAGAGGCACCCATGTACTATAGTTCAGATGTCACTCCACACAGAAAATATTCCAAACCCTTCCTTTAACCCCTTGATGTCGCAACCCCAAATCCTGAGGTGTCTCCTGGTGTCGCAAAATTTCCCCACCAAAAAAAAAAAAATTATTTTTTCTTATGAAATAATAGAGAATCTTTTCCCGAGGGTATTGACACCAAAAGAACGAAATTTGATGGAAAACTCATGGAATTACGCTTTCGCGAAGTTAGTGACCTCGGCGATGTTTACGAATCGGCAATTTCGCCCACATTGAACCCTATTTTCGGCTAATTCCATTGTTCCATTCGACCAAACTCATAGCTATTTCTTTAGAACTCCATTTTTTCTATCGACTGAGTACAAGAAACTGCCCATTTACTGATTTCAATTACCCAATAACGTGGTCAGAAATTTGCAAATTGGGTAATTTCACAAAAATTAAAAAATATGACAATTTCAAAATAGGGTCCACAATGAACAATGCAGACATTCCTGGCTCTAAAATAACAGCAGACTACTGCAATATTGTAATAATTGTATAAATAATGTCAACCCATTCATGACTGCATATTAGAATGGCTACTTAATCATTTATTGGAAAATGACATCATTTGTTTACTTTTGAACATCGGCAAAAATCTAACATTTCCGCTAATTTGAGCTGCATATCAAGGTTCTTTTCATAGTAAAATCAATCAAAATCACCACTATTTCTATATGTTTTCCATTCTATCAAATGAGACCAAGAAAACGAGAATACAACCATAAATACTATATGAAAATAGACCACAAATTCGGCATTTTAATTAAAAAAACTGCAGGATTTTTTTTATATGGTGCACACTGACCACACAGACCCATTCTCTCACATGTGGGCCTACCAACTTTCTCCTGCTTGATTTGAAGCCGCTAGAATTTATGAGTACAGTGGACCCCCGTTATTCGATATTAATCCGTTCCTGAGAGCTCATCGAATACCGATAATATCGAAAACCGGATCAATTTTCCTCATAAGAAATAATGAAAATCAAATTAATCCGTGCAAGACACCCAAAAGTATGAAAAAAAAAAATTTTACTACATGAAATATTAAGTTTAATGCAAGAGAATAATTACAATAACAATAAAATAATTGACACTTACCTTTAATGAAGATCTGGTGATGATTGATGGGATGGAAGGAGGGGGAGGTGTTAGTGTTTAGAAGGGGAATCTCCTTCCATTAGGACTTGAGGTAGCAAGTCTTTTTCCAGGGTTACTTCCCTTCTTCTTTTAATGCCACTAGGACCAGCTTGAGAGTCACTGGACCTCTGTCGCACAAAAAATCTGTCCATAGAGCTCTGTACCTCCCGTTCCTTTACGATTTGTCTAAAATGGGCCACAACATTGTCATTGTAATAGCTGTGTTAGGGTGATTTTCATCCATAAAGGTTTGCACTTCAACCCTCTGTGCACACATTTCCTTAATTTTTGAAGTAGGCACAATGTATTCCACAATTGGTATAGGCTTCTCAGGGTTAGCCCCAAACCCTGTATATATACAGTGGACCCCCGGTATTCGATGGCATCAGTATTTGATAAATCCGGTATTCGATGCATTATATCGCAAAAAATTTTCCTCAGTATTCGATTGAAAACCCGGTATTCGATACGATTCATACGAGACCTGTCCACGTGTGGCTTGAACTGCCCCGTGTGTGCCAGTGTTTACAAGCCAGCCAGTGTGCGCGCATCTAAGGATACATTCGGTACATTCCATATTATCCATATTATCACTGTGTTTGGTGCTTGTTTCTGCAAAATAAGTCACCATGGGCCCCAAGAAAGCTTCTAGTGCCAACCCTGTGGTAAAAAGGGTGAGAATTAGTATGGAAAGTAAGAAAGATTTTGAAGGGTTTGGGGCTAACCCTGAGAAGCCTATGCCAGTTGTGGAATCCATTGTGCCTACTTCAAAAATTAAGGAAATGTGTGCACAGTGGGTTGAAGTGCAAACCTTTATGGATGAAAATCACCCTAACACAGCTATTGCAAGCCGTGCTGGTGACTATTACAATGACAATGTTGTGGCCCATTTTAGACGAATCGTAAAGGAACGGGAGGTACAGAGCTCTATGGACAGATTTGTTGTGCGACAGAGGTCCAGTGACTCTCAAGCTGGTCCTAGTGGCATTAAAAGAAGAAGGGAAGTAACCCCAGAAAAGGACTTGCTACCTCAAGTCCTAATGGAAGGAGATTCCCCTTCTAAACACTAATACCTCTCCCTTCCTCCCATCCCATCAATCATCACCAGATTTTCATTAAAGGTAAGTGTCAATTATTTTATTGTTATTGTAATTATTCTATTGCATTAAACTTAATATTTCATGTAGTAAAAATTTTTTTTTTCATACTTTTGGGTGTCTTGCACGGATTAATTTGATTTCCATTATTTCTTATGAGGAAAATTGATTTGGTTTTCGATATTATCGGTATTCGATGAGCTCTCAGGAATGGATTAATGTCGAATACCGGGGGTCCACTGTACGTCAAAAATGGTGGCTTGTAAGACGTATATGTATGACCAAAACAGTCAAAGGGTTAAAGTGCAGGCATTGTACAATAGTGCCTTAGTACTCAAACAGCTACAATACACAAACTTGAACAATTCGGTATTCGAATGATTTGTTTAGTAAAAACAAAAAAAAAAAAAAAAAATAAAAACTCGAAAGATGACCGTGAGCTCAACACTCGACCAAACAATGTGCGTCAGTCTTCCCCCAGCAGTCGCTCAGTGCTAAACTCCACTGTAAACTATTTCATGTTTCTTCACATTTTTTTTAATTATTTGTATAAATAAGTTACCATGGGGCCTAAGAAGATTAGCGATAACAGCCAACCAAACAGGAATTGGTTAGTCACAATAGAGATGAAAAATTATCAGTAACCCTTT